AAATTCCTTTACGAGTTCATGTCAACCACTTCATTTAATTAAAATCTTGGAAAATTCGTAAAAAATAGTTATAGAAATGAGATACTCCTCAAGATTTCGTTAGGATTGCGGGAACTTTGGATTGCAGGGTACACATGCATACGTATGTATAAACAAATTTTTCGTTTCAAAAATTAGGCTTTTCCTTTTCCTCAGTCTACTTTCAGCATTTGATTTAAAATATGGATATAAATTATAATAACAAAGTAGGGAAATTAAAAATTAGTAAGAAAACCCTGCCATCCAATTCGTTTCTACGTCATCATCGAAAGCCTTAACCCCGTCAGTGTCAGACTACAATTCATTAAAAACAAATCTTCTCGTGCGGTTTCCCCCACAGAGGAGCCCAAAGTAATTGCTTTTAACTTTTTCTGATATGAACAACTTAGTTTGAAAGATTTATTTATTCGATGATATCTAATCGCTATTTTTTCGATCGTGAATAATCATTGTAACTTGTTTCGTGTGGTAAGTCTTTTTTTGTTTTGTTCGTAGGAGAGGGAAATGCTTTATGCACTGGCCGGGGGCGCTAGTCTCTATACAACCTTCCCCGAGTGTGGGACTCCCACCGAAGCGTGTTGGGCTACCCACTAAAACCCAAACTCCCACCGCCCGCACAAGAATCCCGCATCTAGCACCCCAATTCTGCATGTCTGCAGATGCAGGAGCGCGCTGTCAGAGCCTTGGGGCTGCTCTTTTGTAGGGGCGTTTCACTCGGGTGTCCTCAGTGGACAACCGTCCTCTCGTTTGCAGCGGAGTACGAATTTCACGCATCTCGCAACTGCTTCCCACTTTTCTGCGCTGGAGATCATTACCCCAACTATGTTGTTCGGAGTTATGTCTGCGTGCCTTTCTTCCAACTTTTTGCGCGAAATAAAGAAGTGTTCGCAGGTGAAGAATGTGTGGTACACATTATCTTCGACGTTTCCACAGTACTGACAGAACGGTGAATCCACCCTTCACATTCTATGAAGATATTCTCGGAAGTAACCATGACCGGTGAGGAATTGCGTCAGGTAGAAATCATGTGGTAAGTACATACATTTTATTTACAACGATCAACTTGCAATGTTGTATGTCCAGACCACCACTTATACTACAGATATTGCGCCAAAAAATATGCACTACATACGAGTACATACGCTACAGCGGAAATGGACACAGGCCATTTCTTTAAATGAAATTAATTGCTGCTATGTATATGTATGTATGTATATACTAAACGTGAACACAAAGTATTGCTTGCATAGGCTTCTGTTCTCTTTTCACTGCAAGTTGAATTATTTTGATATCTATTGCAAAATTTTATACAGGCAAGACAACTTTTTCTTTATGTAGAAGCCATATGATATAGCGTATGCCACACGATTTCAACTCACTAATGTCTAATGTATGTACATATGTAAGTCTACTAGAATTTCTTTGTATTTATGCAGATTTGTTTAGTAATATTCATTCGCGCATAAAAAAAATAATAACAACGGCACAAGGGTGCGTTATTTAAACCTACCGACATGTATTTTGACCCACTGAATTCGAATCTTAAGTCTTTTTTTGCCATTTTTTCGCAAAAGGTACCTCAGATTCGGATGCTGTCTCCCTGTAGAACCTCACCAATATCGGTTGCTTCGAGTCTAAATTGCAATAAAATGAAATATAAAAAGGAAAAAATAAAAATAAAATAAAATAAAATAAAATAAAATAAAATAAAATAAATAAAATAAAATAAAATAAAATAAAATAAAATAAAATAAAATAAAATAAAATAAAATAA